TGGCCCACGACAGCTCATCACCTAATAAACCATCTTGTTAGTCTTTAAAGTGCTACATAGTTCTGTTTTTTGTTTCATGATTTTGTAAGGCATTAACAGGAGTGTTGCGAGCAAAATGTGAGAAGTCATTCTTCCGCTCTACTCTGCGCTGGTTAGGCCTCAGTTGGAGTATTGTGTCCAGTTCTGGGCACCGCATTTCAGGAAAGATGTGGAAATTAGAGGTCCAGACAAGAGAAACAAAATGATTCAAAGCTTCAGAGGGGAAGCCGAGTTAGTCTGAACAGGATAAACTTAAAAAACAAGTTATCTGGTTGCACTAATAAAACATGTAGATGGCATCATGAGTTTTTGTGGGCACAGCCAACTTCTTCAGAGGACTGCATTTTCTAAGTGTGTTCCCCTGAAGAGGCGCCACTGGCTGTGACTGGTTGGCAGGTCCCTGGGTGGGAGGAGACGTGAGGTCAGGGAGTTCCTACCTCCCAGGGCCAGGGAGCTCACAAACCCCAGCTAGTTCTGGAATTCACCTGGAGAGCATGGTTCAGGCTCAGGCTTCCTCATCCAGCCTTTCCTCAGCCTCCTGTCCAAGCACCAATCCCCACAGGACTGGGAGTCCATTTCCCTCTCCACAGGACTGACAGAGCCTGGGTATGGCCGGGAAGGCAGGGCTCCTGGATTCTCTCTGTCGTCTGGCCTGTTTTGCTCTGGGTGACCTTGGATAATTCACATCCCACTATGCCTCAGTTTTCCTATCTGTGGAATGGGACTGTGTCCATACTGACGCACTGACATTACTGGGGCTTTTCAAGAGTTGGGATTGGCCCTGCCTTGGGAAGGGGGCTGGACTTGATGACTGCCTGAGGTCTTTTCCAGCTCTATGATTGTATGATTCTAAGATCCTTCAGTGCAAGGGGCTGCACAGGGTCATGATGGTTACTGATGAGCGTTACTGATGTTTGATACCTTAACGAGAGCCCCATGTTTCTGCAAAAAAGTCTTGTGTCTCCTGTCACACTTCTGTGTCCAGATCTGTGTGTCTATTATCTACCCATCTCTTCTTGGCATTTAGAAGGTATCACACCCCAGGGAGAGCTACACATTAAACCTTGTTATTTTTGTTCTTAATCAGCACAATTGTTCAGAGCAGACAATTCCTTGGTGACTCAGTGCAGAGTCTAGGAGTTCTCAGCTACCTCTGGGAAGGTCCCTTAATTACTCGTTGTGTCTGTAGCTGGGTAAATAGCCCAGGGGCACAGGCAGGCTGGTCTCTAGCCAGTTTACATTCAGGTCCCACTTCTCCCCAGCGTCTGAGCAAACCCCACCGGGCTGCCCAGAGCCGTGTTATAACCAGCGCCCACCCTGCCTCAGCTCTCAGCAGAGGAAGCTGCTGCAGACTCTGGGCTGACGGGAGGGGCACACGCCTGCCTGAGGAAGACGTGTCCATCTCAGGATTCCCAGGTAAGAATCCCTTGCTGAGGAGCTCCCCTCTCTTCTCTGCAGCCCGGCCCACCCCCGGTGACACCTCCAGCCCTGAGGTGGCTGCTTGTCAGAGGCAATGGGGACCCTTCGGGGTGACAGGCATTCCTTCATATTCCAGACAAGGTGGAATACTGAGCCCCTGGCCCATAGTTTGCTCGGGTTACCTGAGAGAGAACGGCCCTGGAGCCTCAGGCAGCCTCAACCAGACACCCCACCTGGGAAATTTTTGGAAAATGTGCAAACAGCTAGAAATGAGGTTTTCTCACTGAAGGTGTCAGGAAGCCTTCACACAAGTCGGTCTGACCAGTGCCACCAACCGTGGCCAATCCATCAGTGAATCCCTTTCACGTAAGCACTTCAATCCAATAATGTCTGTGGCAAGAAGTTCCACAGGCCAAATACGGTTATGTAAACAGACTTCTTTTAGCAGTGTTACATGTTCACATTCAATGGAACGGAGTGTTCCCTTCTTCACGTGAAGTGGAACAAAGTGAAAACAGATGCCAGATCGACTTTGTTTTTGGACAGATTCATAGGGTTTTAGATGAGATTACACCATTAGATAGAAACATAGAAGAGAAAGGGACCAGAAAGGTCATCGAGTCCAGTTCCCTGCCCTCATTGCAGGATGAAGCCCCGTCTAGATCATCCCTGACAGGTGTTTGTCTAACCTGCTCTTAAATTTTCAGCGGGGTAGCCTTCTGAGTAACTGAAAATTCTGAGTAGTCTTATAGCACCTTGGAGACTAACAACAATGTAGACGACATCTTGAGCTTTCATGGGCACCACCCACTTCTTCAGATGAATGAAGTTTAAAGGGTCTAAGTTCTAAATAAATTTCAGAGAAAGGAAGGGGATGGGGAGGGAAAAGGTTGGAGAAAAAAATGGGAAAAAAATAGTCAATGAATCTCCATGTAAATGAAGCTGAGAGAGAGGGTTCTAAGGACTCTGAAGTATCTGGTGTTTGGCTTTTTATGTCATTAGGATGTGGGCGATAGCGGGGAATCCCGTTAAGGTCTTTGTTTAAACCTCTATTGTAGCTTTCAAACTTGTACATGAACTTTGTAGGGCCTACAAGGAAAACAACAGAACTCCTCCAGTAAATGAAATTAGGTCCTGCCGCTTCCCTTTCAAGCAGTTTTTTGTCATTGGCTTGCAATAATACAGTCACTTTGAGATCTATTAGTGAGTGTCCGGGTAAGTTAAAATGTTCCCCAACAGGTTTCTGTGCATTGCATTTTCGAATATCTGCTCTGTGTCCATTGATCCTTTCTCACAGAGACTGTCTAGTTTGGCCAATATCCATGGCAGAGGGACATTGCTGGCATAGATCACATGAGTGGATGTGCCGATATATGAGCCTCAGATGTGGTGATGTATGTGGTTAGGTCCTGTGCTATTTATTGGGAATTTGGAACGAGGTGTACCAGTAGTTCGGAATAGGAACCTAGTCCGAACTATCTAGTTCGAGCCCCGTGTAGCCACGCTACACGGGGTTTGAACCAGCGGGGATTTAAAAATGGCGGCTCCCCGCTTATGCAAATGAAGCCCGGGAAATTCAAATCCCGGGTTTCATTTGCAAGTGCGGTATGCCTACATTACCCTGCTAGTTCGAACTAGGAGGGTAGTGTAGACAGACCCTTACAGTCCATTTTTCCAAGGTCAGGCCTACGCTGGGCCTTAGCCCACCAAGCACAGGACGGGGAGGGATGGCCTTCATCTGCAGCGAGGGAGGCTGAGGGGAGCTCAGGATACAACTGTCTAACTCTGGGGGTGGCTCTGGAACTGGCTTGCAGGGGTGGCAGAATCCCCATCCCTGGGCGCTGGACAAGAAAGAAAGAAAGAAAGAAAGAAAGAAAGAAAGAAAGAAAGAAAGAAAGAAAGAAAGAAAGAAAGAAAGAAAGAAAGAAAGAAAGAAAGAAAATTTTGTAATTGTTCAAGGAATCAATTACAAAAACGATTTGTGCAAAATAGTTTCAGTTTCATAAAACATTTCATATTTCATAAAAAAACTCTACTTTTCTTTTGTGCACATTTTTTATGAACACCATACAAGATTAGATAGATAGATAGATAGATAGATAGATAGATAGATAGATAGATAGGTTTAAAGGTAGGCTTTGAAATATGACCTAATTTTAAAAAATGCTGATCTTGGGCTTCAGTGGAAAGTGGTTGGTATTCAGCCCTCTTAAAAATCAAATCATTTAGTTAGATACATAAATGTTATTTATGAAAATAATTTTTTTTCATAAATGTTTGAAAAATCTATTTTTGAGACAAACAGCTGATCGGCAGAGTGGGGCAGCCATTTAAATTTAAATGAAGCCGCGATTATTTTAATCGCGGCTTCATTTCCCTCTGCCGATCTGTCTAATCTACATGCCTCCGTCGACGGAGGCATGTAGTCTACACACACCCTAATTGCAAAGATCTTGGTGCAGGCTTGTAGCAGGGGTTGGATAAACTGCTGGGTGAAGTCCTGTTCCCGGAGCACCTGAGATGTGTAGACAGTCCTTTATTCAGAGCTTCAGTGCAGATCCTGTAGAGCTGAGGAGCAGGATTCAAGGCAAAATAGAGGGCTCTTTATATAGCCTCAGCCATATACTCACTGTACAAAGCACATTCCAAGATGGGGCTTGGAGTTACATGAGTCAGTCACTTTTCCATGGGTGATGTCAAGAGGCAGAACCAAACCTGGGATCTCAGTGCATGAGGCTGAGGTTGTAGAGGAGACTCAGTCCCAGCTCTCTGGAACTGGCCTCAGTGCCACCCCACAGACAGTGCCCCATACCCAGTGGGTGTGTGGCTAACACATGCATGGCTCAGTTCTGTGCGGGTGGACGCCTTGGCTCACGCTCCAGACTGAAGGTTTGCAGGAAAATGTTCACTCGAGTTGGCTGCCTCCCAAGCTCAATTGTCCATTGAATGTTTCTTGACGAACCGACTAGACATTCCCAATCATATGTTCCAATTACAATCCAAGAGCATCACAGGGGTATCTGATGATTCTGTTTGCTTTGAACGCTATTTGCATAACACTGCTGTCACTAAAAGCCATGACTTTCCCCTGAAGTGTGTTCTAGTTGCGGGGTTCCCCTGGCACTTGACTTGTCAAAAATTTTTTTTTCCGTTCTCATTTTTTGAGTAACCAGGTCAATGGGAAATCCGTATGACATGAATCTCTCTCCCAGATTTCTTTTAAGTAAGGAGCATTGAGGGAAACACATATTCATAGCCCTGTTACTGTCTAGCACCTATTATATTTTCCCTCATGATTATCCATAGGAAATACTGACAGATAAAATATGGAATTCTAATAAGTAGTGTCAGTTGTTAATGATTTATTTTTGAATAATGGAAATATCTTTTCACAGTGTGAAGAGGAGAGAATGTGATGCACCCATGAAAAGTCTCCTGTAGGACATCTGATATCTCCTATTAACACCGTCTCTCCATCCAGGTACTGTGACCACCACTCTGGAGCCTGAGCATTAAAAGGAAGTCAGGTGAACGTACGTTACATGCAGGAGAAACCTTCTTCCCTGCTCCATGTCATCCCCACCACCTTCATTCTCCTTGGCATCCCGGGGCTGGAGGCGGCCCACGTCTGGATCTCCATCCCCTTCTCTGTCATCTATGCCATGGCCATCTTGGGGAACTTCACCATCCTGTTCATCGTGAAGACGGAACCGAGCCTCCATGAGCCCATGTACTATTTCCTGTGCATGCTGGCCATCACCGACCTCTTTCTGACCACGTCCACTCTGCCCAAAATGCTGGCAATCTTCTGGTTCAATTCCAGGGAGATCGGTTTCAGTCTCTGCCTCACCCAGCTGTATTTCATTCAGTGCTTCTCAGTGATCGAGTCTGGGATTTTCGTGGCCATGGCGTTGGATCGCTACGTGGCCATCTGCCATCCCCTGCGACATTCCACCATCCTGACAAACCCTGTGGTGGCCAAGATTAGCCTGGCTGTGGTGCTGCGCAGTAGTGTAGTTGTGTTGCCCTACCCCTTGCTGGTGAGGCAATGGTCATATTGCAGAACCAACATCATCTCTCATTCCTTTTGTGCACACATGGCTGTGGTGAAGCTGGCCTGTGGCGACACCCGCGTCAGTAGTTCCTATGGGCTCTTTATGCTGTTCTGTGTGTTGGGTCTGGATGCGATATTTATTGCCGTTTCCTATATGCAGATCCTCAGGGCCATCTTCAGACTCCCTACAAAGGAGGCCCGATTCAAGACTTTTTTAACTTGTGGCTCACACGTCTGCGCCATCGTAATCTTTTACATCCCAACACTTTTCTCCTCCCTCATGTATCGTTTTGGACAGAACTTTCCCCTGCATGTCCATGTTCTCATTGGCAATATGTACCTCGTGCTGCCCCCTATGCTGAACCCCATCATCTATGGGGTGAAGAGCAAACAAATACGGAACCAGCTGCTCTGGCTCATTACTCGGAAACAGTTTAAAGTTTTCTCCTAGGGCTCTGGCTTTCAGACCAAGCTTCTTGCTTCTCTTTCTGGTAAGATAGTGCTGGGCCCCCTTCCCTGAATCATGTAATTTGCAGTCAGACCAATATGTCCTTCCCTTACTGTGCTGGGTCAGGGTGTCTTATGACAGAATCATAGAATCATAGAACACTAGGACTGGAAGGGACCTTGAGAGGTCATCAAGTCTAGTCCCCTGCCCTCATGGCAGGACCCAGTACTGTCTAGACCATCCCGGATAGACATTTATCTAACCTACTCTTAAATATCTCCAGAGATGGAGATTACACAACCTCCCTGGGCAATTTATTCCAGTGTTCAACCAGTCTGACAGTGAGGAAGTTTTTCCTAATGTCCAAGCTATACCTCCCTTGCTGCAGTTTAACCCAAGTGCTTCTTGTTCTATCTTCAGAGGCCAGGAAGAGCAAGTTTTCTCCCTCCCCCTTGTGACACCCTTTACCTGAAAACCTCTATCCTGTCCCCTTTTAATCTTCTCTTTTTCAAACTAAGCAAGCCCCCTTTTTTCAGTCTTCCTTCATAAGTTATGTTTTCGAGAGCTTTCATCATTCTTGTTGCTCTTCTCTGGACCTTCTCCAATTTCTCCACATCTTTTTTGAAATGTGGCGCCCAGAACATTTTTGCCTAACCAGCGCAGAGTAGAGCGGAAGATGATTTCTTGGGTCTTGCTCACAACATACCTGTTAATGCAGCCCAGAATCAGAGAAGCCTCTTCCAGGCTGAATTCTGTGAACCTGCACCATAAACAATCTTGCAGCTCCTATTGGGTGGAAATCCAACTACACTTGGCCTCCGGAGCTGCTACAGGGGCATGGAAGGCAGGGACCTTGGCTGAGGAACCAGCTGTGCTCCAGCCAAATGCTCCTTCTCCCCAACCTTCTGTCCCCCTACTGCAGCCTTATCCCATGAAACCAAATTCTGCTGCATCCCTGCTCTTGCACTCATACCCCTCCCAGTGCAGACCCTGCACCAGCTCCTTCCCAGTGCAGACCCTGCATTCCCTCCTACACCCATCCTTCAAGTCAAAAACCCCTCCCACACCATGCACCCAAATCCCCTATCCCCAGTCACAAGCCAATCCTTGCTCCATCTCTTACCCTTCTGCCCCAGGTCATAATCCCCACCTGCTCTGCTCCTAACCCCCTCCCAGACATTCCATCTGCTCCTGAACCTCTCCTGCATCCAAACCCACTTCAGGACCCTGGACACTTCCTTCTCCCCAGTCTCCTGCCTCAGGTCACAGCCTAGGTTCCCTGTTAGCTGCCCAGCCTCGCAGCCATGGAATGATCCCCATCCAGAGGATAAGATCTCCCATGCAGGCAGGGAGCTCAGCTGGTCGGCTGTGGAAGGTGCATCTCTCTGAGCAGCAGCTTCAAACAGAGCTGCCTGCTTCAAACGGAGGAGCTCAGACAGCAGGTAGGGAGGGGAGAAAATGCAGAGAAAGAGTGAAAAAGTGGCTGAGAGGGACATGTGTAGGGCAGGGCATTGTAGGTAGAAGAGGAGGGAGGGTGTAATTGGCTTAGGGGACTCAGAGAGGAGGGGAGTTTGGGGATGCCTTTCTCTGCTAGGAGTGGGGCTAGAGGCAGAGGTAGAGGCAGAAACCCAGCATCCTCCTCTATCCTTCTGGGCTGGGAAAGTGAGGGAGAGGAAGCTGACTGCATGGGGTAGATAGGAGACATAGGGGGTGGGTAGGTGCTGGATTGGGTGAGGTGGAAGAAGGGTTTGTGATATCTTCCCTTGCCCCGATGCTTTATGAAATGGGCGTATGGACATAAAGGGTATGTCTAGACTACATGGCTCCATCAACGGAGCCATGTAGATTTGTTTACTCGGCAAAGGGAAATGAAGAAGCGATTTAAAGAATCACCATTTCATTTAAATTAAAATGGCTGCCACGCTGTGCCGATCAGCTGTTTGGTGCTGTAATCTGGATGCTCCGTGGTCGACATCAAAGGCATTTGTCGACCTCCCCAGTAAATCTCATCCCATGAGGCACAATGAGGAGGATGACAAATGCCCTTGATGTCGACCGCGGTGCGTCCAGACTACGGCGCTGTGTTGCCAAACAGCTGATCAGCACAGTGCGGCAGCCATTTTAATTTAAATTAAGCGGCGATTATTTAAATTGCTGCTTCATTTCCCTTTGCCTACCTCCCTAATCTACATGGCTCCGTCTACGGAGCCATGTAGTCTAGATGTGCCCAAATATACACAGCTCAAAGGTGCTTTGCTTCAGGTAATCTATCAATCTTCATGACATAATCCGCTGGATCTCTGTATCTTATTTTGCTGTGTGTATCATTCTGGTGTGTAAAGTTAGACACGAGGCATGCGGAATGTATCATGGTTTAAATATGTGATGGAAAGCCATCAAGGGTGTTTCCAATGCTGGGACCTCTCAAAACCTGGGCAAATCAAATCATATGTAAAAAGGTTTTTGATCTTAATTCTTAGCTGTGCTTGGTCTTAGGAAGTCAAGTGACTGCCCCAGCTGGCAGTGAGTGGCCAGGTAACTTCTCAGGGAAAAGTGGGAATTGTTAAAACAATAGGAAACTAGCAAGTCTTGGTCTTTGGCTGGCACACCGGGGAGAAGGGAACCGGAGTCCCTACGGAAGGGGAGATTCCTCTTGTCTTGGAGCCTTAGCTGCATAAGAAAAGTTTTAGGGTGAGTTTATACTGACTTTGTACTGAGGTTTTAGTGTTAGAATTTGCTACATGTTTTCTGTTATTTTACGTCTGTAAACTACTTTGCTCGGCCTGTTCTCACCGATAGCTTGTTATACCCTACTGCTTGTATTTAATAAAATCACTTGTACAAGCCCAGTGTATATAATTGTTACCTGGGGGAGAAACCAGTGGGCACATTCTCCCTGTGATTGCTATAGGGGGCTCACCCAACTAATTCATTGGGGTCTGATCCCATTTGGGGAGGGGGATCCCAGGAAGCTGGGCCCAAAACTACACTCGCCTTGGACCTGAAGAGACTCAGTGTCTGTACTGCTCCTCGGGGGATGGGCAGTGATTTCACCTGGGGGCCTTGGTTGGGGCAGACCAGGGAGCAGGCCCTGCAGGACCGTGTGGTGAGGCGCCCCAGAGAGAGGGAAGGCGAGTGGCAGTGAGCTTGCCAGCAACATGACAATCCCCCCCCCCAGGGGTCTATAGTGACCGTCCCCTGTCACAGGCTGATATGAAGTGGCCATCGTCGCGAGGGGTGGTCTGTGTGTCACAGCCCCTGAGAGCTGCTCCAGCTGGGCCAGAGGCAGGACACATGAGTCTGGTCAGTCACCCAGGGAAAACCCAGTCCCTGGCCAGCCCCCTCCAGCCGCCTGCAGCTGCAAACAGCACCCAGCTCCCTGTGAGCCTGTCTGGGGGGTTGCTGGGCAGAGGGAGCTTCACAGACAGGGCTGGAGGCTGCTCCAAAGTCGTGGGGCTGGTACGGCCGCAGCTGCTGCCCGGCTCCCTCCCACAGCCTGTGAGGGGGACTCATCGCAGTGGAGTGACTACGGAGCTGGAGATCCCTGGAGAAACGGGCCCCAGTTCCCGGGGATGGGAGTGGTACAGAGGGGTGGGGAGGGCTTTTCAATGCTCTGACCGGCCTACAGGGCCCCTTTTCTCATAGCAGCATCATGGGAGGGGAGGTCGTCCCCTGAGGCAGGTCCTGGCTGCCCTCCACCCATAGGAACACTCTGTAGGAGCTGCATGTTCTATGTCTGGTCCTATCAAGTGACCCTCCTGGCTGTGGTCAGTTGGCAGGTCTCTGGGTGGGAGCAGATGTGAGGTTGGGAAGTTCCCACCTCCCAGGAGCAGGGAGCTCACAAAGCCCAGCCAGTTCTGTAAACCTCAGATGGTCCCTCATCCAGCCTTTCCCCTGCCTCCTGCCCAAACACCAATCCCCGCGGGAGCGGGAGTCCATTTCCCTCTGGCCAGCAGTGGCAGAGCCTGGGCATGGCCGGGAAGGCAGGGATCCTGGATTCTCTCTGTGGTCCAGCCACTTTTTCTCTTGGAGATCTGCTGTTCTGCTTATAAGAAGCACACGGGATCTTTTTCAGGGGAAAAGGCAACACACTGGCTGTGTCTACATTGGCAAGGTATCTATGGTTGTGCCAATATCTTCCACTATTTGATCTGAGGAAGTGGGTCTGGCCCACGAAAGCTCATCACCTAATGAACCATTTTGTTAGTCTTTAAAGTGCTGCATAGTTTTTCCTTTTGTATTATCTAATCATGAGAAACAGAGAGAGAAATAGTAGCTACAGAACTTATAAGCAAGTCATTACATATGAAATCATGATGCATCTTGCTTATAGTCTTAAAACCAATACTAACCAATATGAAAATCTACATTTTTTGCTACACTTGGTTAATTCACATACTGCTGTGCCTCAGTTTTCCTATCTGTAGAATGCGGCGATGTTCATACTGACATACTGACATTACCAGGGATTCTTAAGAGCCTTCAAGGCAAGGGGCTGCACAGGATTATGGGTGTTACTGATGAGCATTACTGTTGTGTGACATCTTAACGAGAGCCCCATGTGCCTGGAGGAAGTGTTGGGTCTCCTGTCAGTTTTCTGTCTCTAGATCTGTGTCTATCATCTACCCATCCCTTCTCAGCACTTAGAGGGAATCAGACCCTCGGGAGAGCTGCACGTTACTCATTGCTATTATTTCCTTAATGAGTAAAATTCTTAAAAATACACAAATTCACAGAGCAGACAATTATTCCAGAGCCCAAGAGATCTCCTTTCCCTTGGGAAGGTCCCTTAATTACTCCTTGTGCCTACAGCTGGGTAAGTAGCCCAGGGGCACACACAGGCTGGTCTCCAGCCGGTTTACATTCAGGTCCCACTTCTCCCCAGTGGCTGAGCAAACCCCACTGGGCTGCCCAGAGCCATGTTATAACCAGCGCCCACCCTGCCTCAGCTCTCAGCAGAGGAAACTGCTGCAGATGCCGGGCTGAGGGGTGGAGCACACGCC